CCTAACCCTGGGCCATGGTTCATTGGGAACCAGGCCACGCAACTGATGGGTGAGTGCATGAAACTTCATTTGCACATGTGCAGGAGCTAGATTCGGCACATGAAACCATCCCCTGCTGCCGCTGCTGCCAGTCCGTGGAGCCAGAAAGGTTGGGGATCGCTGCTATATAGAGATATCATATAAACTATTTTTAAAATGAATGTTTTACTCCATGCTCATGGAGAACATTTATCTGTGCAGTAGTTAAAGTCAATACCAACCCAGTGGCACATAATCACCCATAAAGAAAGATAACTGGAAGTATTATTAAAAATATATGTGCAAAATAATATTTGATTTATCTAAAATCCATTTGAAAAGTTTTTTTTATAAAAATTGAACCATGCTTTGTCTTGGAATTAATGTTATTTGAATTACAAAACACATCATAAAGTTGTCTGCACAATACAGATTGAGATAACTAATCTGCCCATTCAGGTTAGTCAATTATTTACAGCAAACTGTTGATCCTTCAACATGTTTTAACTTATTACACCATTTCCCCCCCACACCCACCCAAGCCTCTTATGATAAGAAGAGATTGGCTATTTCAAATGATTCTCAGGGAAAGATTGGCCATTAAAAAACAACAACTTCTAAACAGAAGACAGAGTATTGTAGAAATATAAAGGGATTCAATAGAATCCTAAAATATGATCTTTCAAAAAAACAAACAAACCATGGATATAGGCAGTTTATTTCAAAACTAGACAAATTAAGATAAATGTTTTATCTAGGTAAAAGAAATCCAGTGTATTTTGTTTTGAAACAATGATGTTGAAAACAAATTTGTGGAAGAGATGACTCATAATGGTGTAAATAATATTAAGTCCTTCAGACACCTCAGTTCTCTCGATATTTCCATTAGTGGTATATTTATGTAAATACAAATATACATAAATTTACTTGAAACTATCTCATTCTGGCAGTCATCTGTCCTTATAAGCAGAAACAAATTACCACTGGAATGCTAGCAGTGAAAATCAAGGCCACTGCAGTTTAACTGAAAGTTACTAAATAATTCAACTGCTTGCTTCACGCTGAAACTTTTAACAGTGTCAGAGTTTGTCTATAGATGAAGGTTGCTTTCACATCTGAGATTAGGCCAGGTTTCTTAAACATTTGTTGAGCAAGCAATATTGGATTGGTTCGTGTTACATTAATCCAAAAACAAACAAGCATGGCATGGCATAGGCCAATGTGGAAACATGCCACCAATAAACATGGTAATAAAATTAATACAAGTAAGATGCTGCAATAGAATTATTTACTGCAAGTCTTTAATGTTTTCAAGATGCTGGTCTAATTTCCAAACAGGAGGACAGGCAATTCATGCTTTAAGGTTTCCTTTCCAATCTGGAGCCTTACAATGGGCTGGACTGCAACTCCTATCATCTCTAGGAAGTAAGCTCACCCTGGTTATGACTAGGAAGCTGTAACTTGATATATTGGGAGAGTGGCACTTTAAGACATAGTAAGAAAGACCCTCCAGTTAGAAGTGAAATAAAAAGATTCCACCATTTTGACCCTAGATTGTTTAGGCAGTAGAGAAGAGTTCCAAGAAGAAAATAAAGACTAGCCTCAATTCTGGTTGGACAAAGCAATATTGACATTTATTTCCTCTGTTCTGCCAGAGCAATGTATTGATTCTAAAGTCAATTTAAAAAGCAAAGGGTTCAGGAAAAACAATAACAAAACACCTTTGTTGAATTATGGGTCTTAATATAATAGGTCTCTGCTATCTGATTAGTAAAATGACACAAAGACATTCAACAATGAGCATGTTTTATTATTTTGGTACTTCCATATTTTTAAGCTACCTTAGGCTGTTTGAGAAGGCAAAAGATTCCAAACATTTTTCCTTCTAATTACTTATTGAAAAAAAAATATGTGTCACATTGGAAATGCTAACATTTTTTTAATGAAAGTACTGTTAAAAAATAGAGATTTGTTGTCTGAGTTACAACTCCTATAATCGCGTGCCACAAATTTATTGGGTCTGATGTCAGTGAAATTGAAAGCATGTGGAGGACACAAAGCTTCCTACTGTTGCTATTAGACAATGCCTGATATGTTACATAGGTACTTAATTTAGTAAAGAATCTTTTTACACCATATAAGTGTTCATAAGAACATTCAGTCTCTTAGCTGTTTAAAACATATTAAGATTTCTTTCACTGAATAACCATCCTCCATATTATAGAAGGTGTTAGCCTAGTTACAACTTGGGGCTATAAGACAGTAGCTGAAGCTGGGTGGAACGGATTTCATTTCTTAGTCTGCCTTAGTTGTGAATTTGTAAGGGTGGCCTTTGGCAACTTTTTAAAAATTTCTCTCAGGTCTTTTGCTGTTAATGTAAGATGGCAATTTTGCAACTTGTAACACTTGAATTCACACTCTGCCAATGTTCAGTCCAAAGATAAGTTAACAATAGTGACATTTCTCACCCTAGCTCCCATCTTCTGGGTATTAACAATCTGGTGCTATATGGTCCTTCACTATATAACTCCCAAAGTGATAAGCGTGGTTTTTTTTTTAAAAAAAATGCCTCATTCCTGCTGGTTGTAAGATGTCTAAGGCCTGGTTTCTAGCAAAAGGGAAGTTAACTCAAATTAAGGTCTCTCTTATCAGCCTCCTGCAGCAAATGTAGAAGCCACTTGGCAGAAACAGACAACCTAACAAAACATTATTGTACTTTGTTTATATATGTCTTGAATGACATCATGAGGGCAAGAGTTATAGGTTCCGCAGTTTGTATAGAAAAAAAAACAAATAGGAGAGAACTTGATCGACCAAGCTACATCTGCAGATCTTTCAAGTATGAAAAAGAAAGGCTACATTTTAGAGTCACAGGAAACCACTCTGAAAACACCCTCTAATATTGCTTTTTTTCTCTAAAGGGACTGTGTGTTCTGCTGATATATGACCGCAACAGTACAATCACTTTGAAACAAGCCTTAAGGTTAGAACTAGCACTGGCTTGTTCCAAAGTAAAAATGTAGGGTTTTTTTTTTAACCTGCTTAGCAACTAAAGTCAATAGATGGGGGAGGGACTACTTTTGAATTAGGTGGGGTAGGTAGGATGTTAGACAAAAGAGGGTGGAGTTGTAATTGTTTGGATAATTTAAGTATGCATTCACCAAGGAGGAAGCGATCAAAGGGTTGGTTGTATAAGTCCTACATTTTGGGATATAATACATTTCATATTTAAAAGAAACCAGTTCATCCTAAGAGTGGTCTATACTTAATGCAATAACACTTCAAGAAAATGTCTTTATAAGACTAAGCACTGCAAGCAGTTTTGCTTGCTTTTAAAATCAGTGTTACACTATATATAGTGTATACAGTATATACACTATATATATATATATGCATACATTGTGCTACCCCTAAGCAACTAAATTGTGTAAGTGTTTTATTTAGCACAACTCAAATATAGCTTCATGTGAGATTGTGGATACAAAAGCTCTTGAATGTAAAATGTCACAAATCTGAACATATTTCAGGAAGGAGGAAGTACTTTTGCACTGTGTTTCTGATGTACTTTGAACATTTTTATCCATTTATGTAGTGCTTAGATGAACGATTCTCCTTGGCCTAGCTTCTATAACACTGCTACACTCAAGTTTAAACCACAGACGTTGGGGAAGTTAATTGAAATGATGTTTTTTTCCAAAATTGGAATTTGCTGTCATTTGACTCATACAAGCAAGATTAATTTCTAACCTATAGAATACAGTTGAAATTCATTTCACAAACTCAAGCCCTCCCCCCAAATACGTTGCTCATCGGAGACATGCAAGTTGGTGCCCCTTCACACATTTCCACCCACTTGAGGGTGAAGGGAGTGGAAATTGCTAGCAAGTCAATTTATCTCATTACACACTGCAGAGTTCCTCAAGCTTGTACTTTCCAAATACAGTATGTTAGGAATGAGTTTGCTACAATTATAAAGGCCATGCAGAGTGGGTATTCTGGGAATTGCAGTAATAGCATAGCTGAAAGTTAACAGGCTAAGATTGGCTTACAGAACCTAAGATAGGCCTTCCTTAAAATTAATAGGAATGTTAACTTTAGGGATTTTGCAAGTTATAAAGCTACAATTTCATCAAGAGGTTGTCCACCAGTCTTGAATGGGCAAGGTATGCAATGTCAATCTCCCCATACCTTCTAACACTTCAGTAGTCAGATCACAATTGCGGTATGTGGGAATTTGTTACATTGGGAAACCTTTGATTGAAGGCAGCAGTGAAGAACGGAACCTACTGACAAGCTGCGGTTATAAATTCAAGCTTTCAAGCCATTCCTATCCAGTTTTACTGAACAGAAGCTCAATTAACTTCCATGGGCCTAAGTTCAACTCTTTAGATCAGGAAGGAAAAGCATACATACCTTTTGCTGAATGTCATCTTATGATCTCTAAGGGAATCTTGTGTTTGAAGAATGGAAAGAAATCAAACTTTTCTGTTGAGCGGTTAACTTGCTCCTAAGCACTGTGCAACATTGGTTTTTAGTAAATACCAACTGAGCAAGGTATCCGTCAAGTCAGAAATAAGATTTTTTGTTTTTTATTACTTTTCTTGTGTTTTTAAATGGTGGATTAGGTGAACCAACTTGACTTGCTATCCTCGTTCATCAGGCAACCATATAAACATTAATCCTCTGGATTTGGTCCTAATTCTTGTTTGTTGGAAGTCACTTCAGCACGATTTCCACGTATTCAGGAATTAATAGACTTGTGCATTATCTCCACATTATGATTAATTTTGAATAGTATTAAAAATTAAAGTGAGGCATTCAGTGTGTGTTCTCAAACATTCACACTTCAACGGTCTCCTTCATCCATCTGTAACGATCATGTTTTTCCCTGCATCTGCACTCCATGCTTATCTTTTATAATACATTAACTGGGATTAAAAATAGTTTTAACTAATCCTATGCAAGCACGACAAGAGATTAAATTAAAATGCCAAGATAGGAAATGATTTATTATAGAGAGAAGAAAAGTTTCTCATCCAAAATATAGAAATCTGTACAACTTTGCCACAATCAATATACATGAACTGTACAAATTTACACCAGTTCATAATTTACCCAAAAAAAGATGACTAACAAAGTTCACAAAATAGATGGTGGTTTGTGGAAAAGACTTTTACCAATTAAGTACAAGGAAATTACAAACCAGACCTCCACTTTCTAAAAATAAGAGGTTTACTCAGTCTTAGAAAACTACAAGCTAGCAAATGTACAGATAGCTGGCTGGTAAAATACACCACAGTTCAGACAGTGTCTTTAAATGGTCTCTCTTTAGCCTGTTGGCATAGCACAGCCTACTCACTTACTACCTTGAAGGCCAGTACAAAACAGCAACCTAACCATTTTCCCCAGTTCATGGCCACTAAGTGTGACTTATGTACAGTTTATACATATTGTTAAGTGCTAGGTAAAAGTCTGGTTGAATAAAATTTCCAGTATTACCATGTTTATAAAGTCCTATTACTGAGCTGCCAAAAATGGTAACTTTAAAAAATGTATAGTGCAAATTCCTTCTGCAACACTTAATGCAGAGAACAATTTTATAGCTTTAGACTTAGATTGAAAATGTGTGTGTGCATTTTTTTAAAAAAAAAAAAGAAGAAAAATTAAGCAAAATGTCTGGGAGAAAACTGCAGCCTATCTGGGACAACTTCAGGCATTAGGAAATAAAGCAATCATCTATACTCACAGGCTATTAAATCACTGAAAGGTACTGTCGAAACTATGGCACTGCCATTATCAAATCAAGTTTACCATTCTACGTTGTGCCAGGTCTTCACAGCTGTGACATGGTTTAAATTCCGTAATCCATCCCCAGAGGAGCCCACCCAAAGTAAAAACCAATTTTATCCATCCATTCTATGATGATCCATCCACAGGCTATTATCTTAACCTGATACAGTCATCATATTGTAGCTCTTTGAGGGGCTGGTTCTGCCCAAGAGGAGTTCTTCCTTACAGCTTATTCGACTGTCTACCATTTGCATGCTGGTACTACTTTGGCTTGCTCCTGCTGGTGTGGCTTCATACAGCACACAGATCGAGCCATCTTCTCCAATACGATAGGATACTTCATACGGGTCAACCCAGAGAGTAAGTTCACTTGGCAGAAGCCGGAACAGTTCCTGACTGCTAAGTCCAATCCGATGTGCTGCTTTCCCAATCAGGGGATCCATCTTATGGTTGATACGGATGCAGCGATAGCCTGATCCTTTGCATGGCTTTTCAGGGAACCAGTGGTGTTTATAATGTTCTACAGAATAGAAAAGAGTAATAAACATCACACTTGGCTCTTCACACAAGTTCAGAAACAGGAATCATTCTTTTCTAATGCTTCAGTAATAGATGAGGTATGTTTAGTTTAGGATTGACAACCTTTCTTAGCAGCAATTACTCGGACTACTGCTCTTATAACCCTTACAGCTGCCTAGGCTTATAGGAATTGTTATCCAGTGCATAAGACAATAGAACTGGTAGTGGGGGGGCGGGGGGGGGGGAACAGAACAGTATATTATCTTATTAGTTGATAGCCGGAAAAATAATGCTAACTTTAGCAAAAATATACTGTGAGCTCTTGAATCATTTTTTTCTAGATAAAGCTTCTGTCAATTAATTTCAAGAATAAATTAATGTTTGCATATAGAAAGGCCTATCCCAATGAAAGACTATGCCCTGAAATCTCTTTAAGAATTTCTTATCAAAGTCAGACATCTATTTCCACATGTGTTTAGAACCACTGATCTTTATGGCACCTTCTCACATTACATTATATACAAACTATTACGAAAGTGCATGTATGAAATTTTATGATCTGCACCAATCAACGTGAAGTGCTAAATAAAGTGATTCAAAATACCATACGAATGATATATTATGTAAAACAATTTAGATGTTTTCCCCCTTGCAAGACAGCTTTAGAAGTGGTTTACTTTTTTTTGGGGGGGGGGGAGGCCACCTGAGATCAGGTGGGTTAAGATATTAAAAACAGACTTCACAGTGTTAATGCTTTGTTCAGACTGCACATACACACAATTCCCATGCGTTTACTTGTACATGGATTAGCAGACCCTAGTCTCCTACCAAAAAGCATTTGTAGAAGACACTTCATGTAGTACAGTCAAAAATGTAACTTAAATCTTCCAGTGCTAATAAAAACATTCCCAAAACTAGTATTTCCAAACCAATCTTTGAAATAATTATACTCAGTAATATTTTCAGAACATAAAGAACACATTTTGAGAAACCTTTTCTCTGTTGCTAACACTCAAAATCTTAATATTTTTGCTTAATACTTCATTTACCAGGCTCTTTACAGGTAACAACACCTTTTAAGATTCAGAACAGAAAAAAATATTCAGTAATATAGTATTTCGTCATTACTATGTAGCATGTACTTAAATATTAGTAATGTTACTAGGTGTACAGAAAAGGCACTCCACACACACTGAATTACTATAAATTCTTAAGTCATGTTAGAAAGAAAACAAGTTGCCTGGCTTGTGATAAAGCTTCCTGCGGAAAGTAGTACTGGACTAATATAGACCCCACAGTGAAAAGGGGAGACTCAGATACTGCTATAGGTCAAACAAGAAACTAGTGTAATCTTTATTTTCAATTAGCAGATTAATAATCCGTGTTTATTAAATAATTCCCTCTGCCTTCCCATGAGGTATGAAAAATATTTGCTACTGTACCACACAGATAGGTGCATTTAATATATTCTTCTCTTAAGCTAATGGAGGAAGAGGAAAGGAAAACAGATGTGGAAAGACATACCCCACCCCCAGCCTTTAGGCAGAATCTCAAGAACCTCTGTTCTGCACTCCTCCAGTCTCAAGCAGTTCAAAATGGTAAATAGAGCTCTTCCAGAGAATGCATGAGAGATATAAGGCTTAACAGTTACTTGTATCTGGGCAGAATGAGAAAAGGTCATGTATCTTAAATGAGTTTAAAATGCCACCCAAATTTACTCCGCTCCTTTTTATATACAAAACCCAATACAAAAATTGAGAGGGCTGTAAAGACTTTATATTCAGAACTTTAAAAGTATGATTGACTGTTGGTCTGTATGCTAGTTTAGGCAATGTGATCTTTGTGTATAAACACCAAGAAAGGAAAGAGGAACTGAAGGCAGCTAAAGGGACTTTCCAAACACGCAGAGTCTGTACACCAGTGAAAAATCCCCCGTTGCATACACGAAGCACTGAGCAAAATCAAAACCAAAGGGAAGTACGGCAGTAACCCACTGTAATATCTTTAGATCATAGTGGGCTAAAGCGATAAAATAGCTGCTTCCTAGGCTTGTACAAAACACAAAAAGGTCTCCTTCGTTTCCTGAAGCTGTTTTGGAAGGCTGTTTATTATATTCCCACGAACCGTCCAATCATGCAACCAGTTTACACATCGTTTACCTTCCCTTCTTCCCAACACTGCAGCCTTTCTCCACCAATTGCCCAGGGCCAATGCTGGCTATCATCATGGGACCTTTACCCCCAACAGCTATGGAGGGCAGCTAGTCGGGACAAGGCTGAAATAATGACGTTGACCAACAAGATCCGGAGGGATCGCGCGCAGGGGGGGGGGAGCTACTCGACAAGAACAGCAGCTGTGCGGTTGTTGCTTGTCTCCCCCCCCCCCCCCCACAATACGAGCCGGAAGGAGACGGAAAATCTGAAGACCTCCCCGCCCCCCCCTCACCTGCCAGCAGCTCCTGCAGGTTCTGACTGAACGTTTGAAGCTGCCGCTCGTTCATCAGCCCGTTGGTGCGCAGGAACTTGGAGATGAAGTTCACAGCCGCGGCGATCTCACGTATCATGTTGGCCCGGGTATAAAGGGCGGGATGCATGGAGGCGTAGGGGGCGAGAGGCAGCCAGCTCCGGTGGTTGACCAAGAGTGTTCGGGGCGCGCTCAGGGCCGCCGAAGAGGAACCGAGCGGTGGGGACGAGAGAGAGAAAGAGAGAGAGAAAGAGAAGAGAGAGGAAAACAAGTCGAGGGGGTTAGAGGTGGAGAAGGCGGCGGTCTTTTCAGAAGACTCAATTCAGGAGAGGCGCCCAGTCCTTCTGTTGAGCCGCCACCCTCTGACGTAGTCAGGCGGCAGTGCCGGGAACTACCAGATCCAGCGCTTCGATCATCTCCTACCAAACACGAAGGAAGGGCTTCTCGGTGCAGCGCCTTTTATAACCGCGGCCAGGCTGGCAATGGCGCTTGAAAAGGGGCCGAGATCCCGTCCTAACCAATCGGGCGATCGCACCATTGTGACGTCTTGTTGGAACGGAGGGGCACGGGGAGAAGTGATGTCATCTGATTGTAAACAAATAGAACTTGGAAGAGGGAGAGGAAGCGAGAGAGCGAGCTGGTTGGGTTTGTTCGTTGAGCGGGGCTGGAAAATAGCAGCGGCGGCGGCAGCAGCGGCAGCAACAGCAGCGGCCGCCGCCGCTTGAGAATGGAACGTCTCGTACTGTATATAAGACGTTCAGGGCTGCAGTAGCAGCTCGCGCTTGCTGGCTGGCGCTCGCGCACGTCCGAAATGATTTATGTCTTGTTTAATACGACGCATAACAAGGTTGGGAAAGACGGGAGGATCGCGTTTATCTTACTCAAAGGGTAAAAAAAAAAATATGCAAACGGCTTTTGTTGATCCTGCTGTCGACTGATCTTTTTTTTTCCTTCCCCTTTCATTCAGATCTCGCTGCAGAAGGTTATGGCCTACTAACAGACCTCGTCTGTAGTTAAAAATTACCCTCTGCATCTCTTAACAAAAACAAATCCAGTGCATTCCGCTGTTATAATCGAGCACAGTGGATCAGTTAGATGTGATTTCTAAGGGGACCCGAAATCGGATTGCACAGTCGGTGCGCATTTGTGTTAACACGGAAGGGAAAACATGGGTGCTAGAAATTGCTTATATCAGGACATTACCTCTTTTAACTGTCACCTAAAACTAATCCATAGCTGTTACGCCACAAAAGTCACAAAATGGAAGATGTTTATTTATATCCCTCCTTTATTATTTTTATAAATAACTCAAGGTGGCCAGCATACCATTCCTTCCTCCTCTTATTTTCTGCACTACAAAATCCTCTTGAGGTGGGTTGGGCAGAGAAAGTGACTGGCCGAAAGTTACCCAGCTGCCTTTCATGCCTAAAGTGGAAATAAAATTCAGTTTCCTGGATTCCAGAGAGATAAATAACATACCGATTGAAGTGCAATATATATTTTTTTCATTTAATATGCTGCCTTTGCTGATTTTTTTTACCTTCTACACAACCTCAAAAGATCAATGAACAGCCATAGGAACAGTTTTCTTATGTTCTATTCTCATTAAATATTGTATTTTTTTATGAATTGTTCATTATTTAGCACCAATAACATAATCAGAAAGAGGAGGAAGTGTGCCTCTAAAAGTAACCAATTCATTCAAGCCATTTTGTGGGTCATACAATTTTGCACAAATTTTTCCATCAGACCTGTCCTACTGTCCTTGAAACCTGCGAGGGAGGTTTCATTAGCTGAATATTAAAATGAGTGCATAGCAATCAGATTGCATGTACCTGTTTTTGAAACAATATCAATATCCTTTGAAGCAAGAGACTTCAAAAGTAGGTTAGAACTCCCTAAATAGGTATTTTAAAAAGATAAATATATTTATTGGCACCGATGGGTGTTACTTTTGTTATACGGTTGACTCATTTCAGATTTCTTTGCCCTTTCCGCTGTGTTTTGTTTTCACTGGGTACTCTTGGTTTGATTGTTGGAATGTGTATTTCTGCAAGCAGGGTTCAAAGACTATAGGTTTTAGCTTCAATAGACTCCTCTGTATAACCCACACATCCTGATTTGCAAAGAAAATAGCTGCAGACATTGCTTTAACACAACATTCAATACTGTACTTTTCATCAGCTGTACTGATGGTTTGACAAAAGTGATTACCTCAGCTATGAGTTTTATTTATTTTAATCCTTTTATATTACTTTTTTCTTGTATTCAGTTTTCCTATTTTTTTTTGTTTTATTTGTTTTGTTTGCAAGCTGCCCAAAATCATACCTAAATGATTATATAAATTTGAATAATAAATAAGCATCTAGCATTTTGTGATTTTTCTCTATAGATTCTAGTCAATTTTATTTTCGTAAGCACAAAATTGACTCTCCCATTAAGAAAACAAGATAGCCGCCTCAGTGGATTTTGGATATCATGAACAGGCACAAAGCGATAAATTATTAGTTTAGTGATTGTAATTGACAGGGAAGAGGATAGTTGCTTTTACAGTGTCTGCCTCTAGCTTGAGTACTTTTAGTTGTGTGGGATGGTGGTATTGCATCAATTTACACTCCGTTAAACAACAAAGTGTTCTAGGTTGGCATGATTATTTATATTGACTTCACTGAAGCTTCATTGTAAGGTAGATCAGATGTCTTTGTTTTTTAATATAAACAATGAGATGGTCTGTATATAAATTTAATAAATAAATAAATAAATATGAGCCACATATTTTTATTCAATTAGAGGCAAATAAGTCCTATATTAAATAATTCTTCCAATCTTATGAAGCAAATACGTCACCTCTCTCTATAAAACATACCCTATCTACTTGGGAATAATTCCTATCTCTCAGTCTTTCAATATTCTGACTAGGAATTATATGAGAAGCCATTCATTTCTAACCTGTGCTTTCCAATTCTCTTCTCTTTAACTTTAACAATTGTAAGCTTTTCCATCTTCAAACAATGACCAATTTGCACCATTGCCTCTTAAAAATTTGCATTTAAATTAATAATCCATGTAAACACACCAAAAGAGTAAAAAGGCTAAACAAAAATAAGAGAACTATCCTTAGTTTAATTGAAAATGTAGACTATTACTTATGATGTAAAATAAACAGAAGTGAGATGACTGAACTCCTTGCTATAATTTCTATAGTATTGTTGAAATTGGCTGAGTCTCAGTGTTCCTTAGCTTGTATACTTGTCAAAGTTGCCCTGCATTTTAGGTTGTTGGTTTCTCTTGTGTGTGCCTTCAAATCAATTTTTAACTCCTGAGCAATGTTTTTTGAAGGAGGTTTGCATTTGCCTCCTTCTTGGGCTAAGGGAATTCCTAAGGCTACCTTGAGTTAAGATGGACAGCCTATAAATTTTATAAATAAATATGGCCATCCAGCTGGCTTTGTGCCTAAAGGCAGAACTAGAATTCATTGTCTCCTAGTTTCTAGCCTAATGCCTTAACCATTAAGCCAAACTGGCTCCCAATAATGCACTAGGATAGTACATTAAAATAGCTCTCATATATCAAAATATACAATAAATTGATTGTTCTGAAGACAGGCAATGCTAGCATTGCTAAAATCTGAGTTTCACCACCCTTTTCCCACCCTATGTCATACAACCCTAATCTCTTTTCCTTGAATTGTTTCCGAGACAGGCCTTTTTTAAATTAGGCAAAAGAAACTATATTAACTATGTTATTAGCTTTTTTACTAGCATGGATAATGAAAGGTGCTTGTGTGAGAGATGTGCTTGTTTGTTAAAATAATTTAACTGGTTGTGAGTCCCCTTGATTTTGTGAGATGAAGGATGAGGCCTTTGTTCTGGCAGCAACACAACTCAGACTGTAGCTCTCCATCATTGGTCTTCCTTTAAACATGGCGCAAAAGCAGAATTCTTTGGCAATTTTCTTTATGTCCTTTAAATTATACTTGTATGTTTTAAATATATATTTAAAAATCACTTTAGATGAATTGCCTGGAAAATAGCCATAGTTGAGAAGGTGTCTGCTTAGAACACACCCTTAGAATTTAAAGCCCAGTTCTTGGCTAATTAGAAAACCTTTCTCTGCATAAGGCTTTAACCATGAACTTTAACTCTGAAAGCTATGCACAATGACCTTCTTTCAGACTCTGCAAATTGAAATATAGAGTAGTTTACAGTTCTACGGTAGAAGAGAGGTTCTTCATCTGCTTCAGGGAAACAACAAGGTTAAAAATAAATACATTTTTGTTTACGTCGTAATATGATCATCCTGTTTCACTACCCTACATGAAATCTGTCACTGTGGTGCCAACTTCATCATGCCTTTTTGAAAGCCCTTCTCCTCAATAAACAAAAATCAATTACTTAGCTAATCCATAGGAAGTACTCTAGAAAGACTGAAGCACAAACACAATCAAGTAGCTTGGTTTAACACAAACCAAGTAGCTACCCCGTCGGCTTTCAGACAAGACCAAAATAACTTCACATTTGATGCACTCCTATTTTGCTGGCTCTGAAAAAGGCCTTTGAGAAACACAAAGGCTCTCTTATCTGCTCAATAGTTTAGCCTGGCTATTTAAGAGCTGCTTGGGAGCATCTCACATATTTTCAGAGGACAAGAGGATTGTGCAGTGTCTTCCATGCCCATGCAACGATACTGGCATTTGCTTTCACAAGTATTAAGAGGTGCAAATGTTGAAACTGAAGTGAAAGCCATTGATGTCAAATACAGCATGTTTTCTGCAATGTAAAGGGGTATATACTTTCAAGGGAATAAAAGAAATATGAGACATGCCACAGGGCAGGCCATAGCTCTTAGCCATATATTTTTTACCATCAGTATCAGCAAAAACTTAATGAACATATATTTTAATACCTGTTTCTAAATAAACCCTATTTTACATATACTGGATGTTGACAAGGATGCATTGTCTGGAATGGGAGGATCTCTGAGGCCTCTTTCATTGGCAACATACTTCTTTCTCATCTGTCAGCTGTCCACCCAGACAGATTCCCTGAATGCATTATTATGAAGAGGTCCTCAGAGCAGTGCACAATGGCAGCTGCCTATGTAGATGGGTACTTCAGCCACTTCATGAAGCATCTTTCTTAACACCCATCAGAATGATACTTCTAAGAAGCCAGCTGACAAGTAGCATCACAACTGCTACTGAAAAAGAATCCTATGGCCAAACTGGTCCAGAGTCATGCATTTTGTTTATGCACTGAAGTGGCAATCCAAGATTGCTGGATCTGGAGCAGAGGAGGTGATTTCTTGGCCTCAATTTACTGTCTATCCAGGTCTTGTCACCTAAAACAGCATTCTTCATTGCCCTTAATGGTTTGCTGATGTTAACCCTTTTGCTGTCAGTGTTTGCAATCAACCAGTGTACACAAGCAAATTACTTAACTGACAAC